TTTGTTTTTCTTTGTAAGTTTTGTGAAAGATTGTAGGTTCATTATCTTTTTTTTTAATGTTCAAAAAAATGAAATAAAAATTGAATTTTTTATTAGTAAGGGCAAAAGAGTAACAGTAGGGTGCGATAAATAGTAAAGTAGAGTGCGGTCATTAGTAACACCCAACCCTGCACTATCCACGAGTGCTGAGAGGCGAAAATTCATGACCAAGGTATCAAGGAACGCCGGCAATGGAAACACAGATAAGTGTCGCCAAGCTATCCTCGTGAAGGTCCGCCGCCCAAGAGGCCGAGACCTTCATCCCCTCCCAATACCTCGAAAACGCCGATCGGCACCGCGTCCACGCAAGACGCCGCTCTTTCACCTCCCGCCTCCGATTTAAAGGACACGACGGCTTCCTCCTCGTGGGGCTCTGACGGAGAATCGATGTCGCCGGATGCTGAAGGCGGATCTAGTCCAAGTCCGACACCGGTTGCTAATGTTTCAGGCGGCCGGTCGGAGGGCTCGAGACGGAAGGGAGGATTGACGGCGATTCTGGCGAACCCGAAAGTCTGGACTGTCTTCACTGCCGCAAACCTCTTTTCTCCCGCTTCCCCTTATATCAGGTCCCTTCTTCTTTTTCTTTTTTACTTTCGATTAATTATTATTCAAATTTTTGGACTGAAAAAGTAAATTAACAATCTTTTACAATATAAATCCATTAATTGAGATAACTTTTAAAATTACGAAGTGCCGTTACTAGCATTGGAAGGTTTCGTTTTTTATTCTATCCAAATATTTGAAAATATGACATAAGCAAAGCAATAATAAGTTAATAACAACGATCTACTTGGATGAACTTGGAGTCCTGGACCCAATGAAGTTGGAGTCTTGGACCAGAGGCTGATTGAAGAATAATATCATGCTAAGGAAATAAGTTGACATTAATTTTGTGAGATATGGTTGAGTAAAGGTAAGATTGTTCTTGGTTAATGAAAATTCGGTTTTCATTATTTTTTCAAATTTCATTACGTCTTCAAAATATTGATCCCATTGAAAAGTAAGTGAATATTATTACCCAAACTCAGTTCAATCAATCAAATTATGGTAAAAAAAAAAACTCACTTTTAAGTAGAGATACTCTCGAACTACAATGTCATCATTCAAGAAACACATCACCTCATTCATATTCTTCTTTTCATTTTGTTCATTTGAACTATTTACTTGTAGTTTAGATTGTGCTCATGTAGTGGTTATATTGATGAGTGGATTTGTTCGAATCTTATATAAACTCTTTTGTTGATAATACCTTAAAAAAAATCTATTGTTCTAATTAGTATTCAGGATCCCTGATTTATCTGCAATATGTTTGTTAATCTCGTAATTTGTTTTTCTTTATCGTGAATTTAGTGTAGCAAGGGGCATATATTATGTTCACCATGCTGCAAAGACTACAATAATAAATGCACAATCTGCCGCTGTAAGATGGGAATCCATTGCAGAGGTCTCGAGAAGGTTCTGGAATCTCTCATCTTCCCATGTGACAACTCATCCTCTGGCTGCAGCAAGGTGTTCTCGAGCCATCGCGATAAGCTCGATCACGAGGGGAATTGCGAGTTCATCCCTTATTATTGCCCTTACACCAGCTGCAAATTCTCTGGCCTGTACAAGTGCTTGCACAGGCACGTGACTCAGGCACATCCGTGTTGGGCCACAAGGTTTGGTCTTGGCTCGGTCACCAAAATTTATGGCAATCACAGTGAACTGTTGTCCTCCGCGAAAGGACCCACAATACACTTTTTGTCTGCACCCGCTCAGTAGACCCCTCCATTGGAACCGAAGTCGATGTGGTATGTGTGGGTCCCAAGTCTGCTAAGGGTGCCCCATTCTCGTGCGATCTCACGGAAAAGGTTTTACCCATATTCTCGTCTGATAAGGACACACCCACGTTGGTGAACATGAAGATGGGTGTGGAGTGCGTGCAGGAAAGGACTGAAGATTCCTCCCAAGGGAAGCATCTTTTGCTTCCAGCGAAATTGATGGACGATCAGAGGAGAAGGCTCGAGCTGGAACTTATCATAAGGGGGAGACAAGCTTAGTGGGGTATGCTTTTGTTTTTTCGAGCTCTAGTGTTTTTTCTTGGCCACGCGTGTTATTTGGATATTTTGCAACCTGTGATTGTGATTTACATGTATTGTGTTTCTCTTTGACGTATTTATTTGACTATGTTGTGTTTTTCATGCTTGTCGTTGAGAATAGAAGGCTGATAAAAGTTGTCGTAGATTGTTTGCTATTATTAGTTTCAGCTATGCAGGGAGCACTGACCAGAGTGGGCGGTTCTCTTTTGGCTTGGCCACCTCGGGCAAGTATAGAGATAGAGTCTATGTATGGCAACAGAATTGATATATGCTCTGTGTGCACGAGCATGTTGCTGCCTCGAGGTCGTTATTGTGGGACCCACATCAGGTGGTGGG